TGTGTGTGTGTGTGTGTCCCGTCTGGTGCCACAAAATTATATATAGGGTCGCTGTGATTAACCTTCCTAATGTGTTCCTAAAGTGCGTGCGTGCGTGCGTGCGTGATGCGTGCGAAGGGGGGGTGCGTGCGTGCGTGAGTGCGTGCGCGCGTGCGTGCGTGCGCGTGCGCATGTGCGGCTGCGTGTGCGTGTATGTATCTATGCAATGACAAATGTTGATCAACTATGACTCTTAAATACATGGTCTCACAGACCTTACTAATTAAATGAACAGCTGCAACTAGTACTTAAGGTATCATAGCATGTGTGAAGTTTAATTTAGAAATTGATATTAGGCTGAGTACGAATATAATTTGTAAAACATATATAACTAGTTTTCAAAGTATTTAAGTATATGTAAGTAGGGTAGTGTTCATTCACTTAGCGATTCTAGCAAGGCCTTTTTCAGCAGATCTACGAACAGAATCCCAGGAGTTATCAGTAAATATTACTACAGTATCATCTGCATAGGAGATTTTAATAAATCATATTTCATACCCCAAGTTATCAATAAAAGAAGGTTAGCCGATACTGCTGTACCAACCTTGAACTTATGGGAGGTAATATCTAGCTGTAATTATATCATTAGATTAATAATAATAATAATCTTTATTGATAAACACATTACATGCACAAAATTTACAGTGGTCATTAGCCCCTAAGCTAGGATATAACACCTCTATTTCAGGGGCTAGTTTCCTTCCCTATTCTTATTTCTATTACTATAATTTGTTTATCTATGTATTATATTTATGATGTTTATTTATTATATAATATTAACAAGTATTATTTAAAACGTAAAATTTATGACAATAAAAAAGGGGAATAAAAAAAACAAATCAATGTTGGCACTATTGCAAAAATGTGTGTGTGTGTGTGTATGTGTGTGTGTGTGTGTGTGTGTGTGTGTGTATGTATGTGTGTGTGTGTGTGTGTGTGTGTGTGTGTGTGTGTGTATGCGTGAGTGTAAGTGTGTGTGTGTGTGTACGTGTGTGTGTGTGTATGTGTGTGTGTATGTGTGTGTGTGTGTGTGTGTGTGTATGTGTGTGTGTATGTGTGTGTGTGTATGTGTGTGTGTATGTGTGTGTGTGTAGTGTGTGTGTGTATGTATGTGTGTGTATGTGTGTGTGTATGTGTGTGTGTGTGTGTATATGTGTGTGTGTATGTGTGTGTGTGTGTATGTGTGTGTGTGTGTATGTGTGTGTGTGTATGTGTGTGTGTGTGTGTGTATGTGTGTGTGTGTATGTGAATGTGTATACGAACATACTTTTAGCAGCACCGCCCCAGGCACAAATGCAGTAGGTACAGAGACACTCTCCCAATGCTTTGTATGTTTTGATAAGTCATTTGCAATCGGTTACGGTTCGTAAACTTTTAAATACATATATAAATGAGTTTTCTTAGTTTATTAGCTACTGCATCAGTATGGGCATCCCAAAAAAAATTATTGTCAATTATCACTCCTAGATATCTCATAAAATCAGTTTTGGTTAAATTACTGCATTGACATGGTGTAGAGTTTATATTACGATTGCAAGGATACGTGTGTAATTTTAAAGTTGTTAGTTGGAAGAGTAGCATTGGTCTTAACGAAACATTAAGTGATAGTAAATTGTCTTCAAGCCAAGTAGTCACTAACCTCAGACCATTTTCTGTGCATTTTGCAACTTTATCCCAAGTTTCACCATGAAAAATCAATGCAGTATCGTCAGCAAACATAGATAAGTGGGCATTTTTGATATTGATTTTACACAATTCATTTACATAAATAAAAAAGAGCGAAGGTCCTAAGGTCGAGTACCTTAGGACCTTCGCTCTTTTTCTGTGGTACACCGTAAGAGCAAGAGGAAGTGTTGCTTGCATACTTGTCAATCCTGATTCGTTGTCGCCTATCAGATAGGTAGTCCCTAAACCAGTTGTAGACAACACCTCTTATACCCATGTTTTCCAAACGGTTGAGCAGTATAGGAATCGACACTGTATCAAAAGCTTTTTGTGGGTCCAAGAAAACACATTCACATTTTTTTACCAGAGTTAAGATATTTTGATACCAGATATGTTAATATTAATACGGCATCTTCTGTTGACCTGCCCGAACGAAAGCCAAATTCATTATTATCAATAAAATTATTTCTTTCATGGTACCGTATTAATCGTTTATTTACAACCTTTTCCAATATCTTTGACAGAGTACTAAGATGTGAAATTGGCCTATAATTCGAAGGGAGCTACCTATCACCAGATTTGTATATGGGACAAACTGTAGCTTCCTTGAAAATGGCAGGAAAAACACCTCAACATTACAAACATCCTCTATTGGATCAGAGAGCACATTAATATACTTGTTTAGGAAATATGAACTAACAGAATCAAATCCAAGGGCACTATTTGTGGTAAGATTTATATCCGTTTTATTTTTTCGATATCTGTGGGTTCGAGGGACATAAACATAAGAGGTATATTCGGGATTCTAGCCTTTTTTGCCAATTAATTTTCACACGTGTTTAGTTTTTGAAGTGTAATGTTAGCCAAGTTATGCCCCACTGATGTAAAATAACTATTAACTTTGTCAAGAGATTTAGTGGGAGAAATATCAACATCAAGTAATTCCTGCGGAGATTCCTTTTTCTTATGTATGTTACACACGTCTTTTATTATTTTCCATGTTTTTTATTATTTTTAGCAGTCACGTGTAGTGTTTATTTATAATACTGCCTCTTTGTAAATTTTACTAATTTATTACACATATTTACGGTATTTATATAGTTAGCGAGAAGTTTTTCACTATCAGCATGTAACTTAACTTTTAGGTGCATCTTATTTCTTTTGCGTATGGAAATAATAATACCGTGTGTAATTCACGGTTTAAGTGGTCTAAATTTTTTAGGTAGCTCTTTGATGAGTGTGTTATCATTAACTACGGTTTGTAATTTTGTTAATAAAACTTCTGCAGCTATATTTGCATCGGTTATATTAAAAAAGTTTTGCCACGTTTCAGTTGACAAATAATTATTTATAGCATCAGAGTCGGTATATTTTAATTTTAAAAGAGTATTATTTCGAGCGGTATTCTGAGAATTTATGTATAGCAAAATTGGAGCATGGTCTGTTAACGGGTCAAACACAAAAGTACCTCAAGTATTAACACTTTTAATCATAAAGTGATCAATACAAGTATTTAGTCTAGTGGGAAGATTGAAACCCTGCTTGAGACCATACATTGCAATCAGTTTAAGGTAGTTTTGCACGTGCGTTGAACTGAACTGTTGGATAGTATATCCAAATTTATGTCTCCTGTCAAAATAATATGAGGAGTATTATTATTCATAAGTACGTTTTCCAAAGAATGTAGTTAATAATTTGGATTACGATAACTGGGTGATCTATAAGAACAAATAATTGAATATTCCGAATCCATATTTATAATCAAGCAATTGCCTTCTTGTAAAGAAGATAAAAGAAGAAAAGAAGAAGAAGATTTGTTTTAATATTACCCTTGACACTTATATTATTCTTCTTGAAAATATTTTAGAATTTCGACAAGTTTACAATTATGATTTCTTATATTTACACGAATGCTACACATTAAATGAAACTAATTTTACGGATTTTATCGCATTAAATTTAAATTTTTAATTCCCGACGTTTTGAGTGCTTTACAGTACGAATTTCAATGTCGCACCTTTGACAAAATGCGGCACGTGCTGTGGCAGCGCGGCACAAAAACGATCTTACCTAAGCGAACAGACTGCACACCAAGGAAAACTAAACTAAAAAAACGTTTTTATGAAATGAAAATTAAGCAGTTGATGAAATGCCATACTAGAATTCAAAGGCATTATGGCTATGTTTACTACGAGTTTAATATAATATCCGAAAATTTCGATGAAAATACTGACGCATTAATGTTTTTATTGCTGGGTTATACCGACACAATGTGAAAAGTACCCATAGACAACTATTTGATTAACATTCAAAAACTGGCCATAATTATATTTACTAATAAAATCATAATTTTATATAACACTGAAAAACCCTTCACTGCTGGCCGTATGAGTCGGTAAGTACCTAGTATCTGCGAAGTATTTTTTAATTATTGACAAAAAACATTATAAAACGGTGAAATATTATTAAAAAAATCAAAAATAATTAATAATTTATAATAATAATAATTAAAATTATAAAAGACATAATTAATACATTGGTTATTAATAAATAATAATAACAATTTCATTATTTTCTTTTTTCTTCTTTGAATGATATTATAATCATTTCAAACAACAGCCCGCATTTTTGTGACAACTTACCGATCGCAGCGCCCCACTTGTTTTGTTCATATATCTTGGACACTATTTTCTACAGCGATCGTTCTCCTGTTCTCTAACCTCCATGGTATGGAGTGTAGAGGTAAGAAGTACAACTCTGTATAAAAAAGTGTCCGTAGCAGTCCTTAGAAAAGCGTTAAAAAGGGTGGCGCCACTGTAGCTTCAGTCTAAATTTTAAATAACTTTTTAATATTTTTTTATTGTACAGACTTTCACCATAATTCTTTTTACAATAAATATTTTATTAGTTTCAATTAATTTTTTCAAAATCACTCTCAATGTGTTTTACGGCGATTTATCATACCCTGTAACTACTCGAGCGCAGTTGTGGAAAGTTTTTGAACTGTTATTTACTGCTTACAGATGGATACATTTTCAACTATTCTCCTACGGGAGATTGTCCTCCTTACCTCTATACTTCAGTCCGTAACGTTGACACTGGGCACACTCAGAAGGGCTAGAACTCAGAGTTGTAAAGCCAGTTAAAAAAACACTTGACACATAACAGCAGTTTGAATTTTTAAAGCAATGGAATGTCAGTGTTTAAAATTAAATTATAAAAATTAAATGAAAATAAATAAGTGACGTGCTGTAGTCGTGTGGTTCTAGTAAGTTTGTGTATTTATCCGTTTTACTATGTCGAGTCATGAAGATGAAGTTAAAGATCTTATAAGGAAGAATAGTGAGTTAGTACAAAAGGTACAGTATTGGAAAGTGACTGCAGCGCAAAGGGAGAAAGAAAAGCTGGAACTTACCAAAGAGATAAATGAACTAAGATTAAAACTGAGTGTGAGTTTGTAGTATTTTATTTAATAACATTGTTCAATCTATGTTGTAGTTTCCTGGCGGTATATTTTACTATGATTTTGTTATGAAAGGGTATAACCTGAATATAGTGTAAAATAAGTCAATAGTGAAAATAAGAGCTAAGTATCGTTGATATCACAATTTTTCTTGGAATTACTCTAGACGCGAAGTTTCAATGGGGCCCCCATATATCAAAACTAGCAAACAGACTTATTTCTGCAGCATATGTTGCAAAAAAAATTAAGAATCTTACCAGTGATGAAACAGCTAGACTAGTTTACTTGAGCTATTACCATAACATAATATTGTATGGTATTTTGCTATGGGGGCATGTTGACACTGAAATTGTATTTGTTTTACAGAAGAGGGCCCTGAGAGCAATGTATGATTTAAAACCTAAAGAGTAGCTCAGAAAAAAGTTTAAGAAAATGAATATTAGTTTGGCCACTCAATATATTTATGATAAAGTTATGTATGTATACAAAAATAAAAGTAGATTTACAAAAATAAGTGATATTCATTCTGTAAATACTAGGCACAGACACAAGCTAGTTTTACCAGTTACTCGACTCCACCCAACTCCACACAGTCAGTAATTCATTCTAGGGGTGATATGCTTTTACAACAAATATCAAAAAATATACAATATTTGACTTCTCCAAAGTTCGAAAACTTTATTAAGCAAATTGATGGATGATAATTACCCCTGGGAATGAGGTGATCGATACCTAGCTATTTTATTTCTAATTTGTTTTGGTTTTAATTGTTTAACATCTGGGGGCATGGCAGTGCCCGAGCAAAAAAAGTGGCACGGCCGTACCATACTTTTCTTGAAGCAATTCAGGCCATTTTCGACCCCCTATAACTTCATAGTGGATAAAACTAGAAGCCTGAATTTTCGAGAAGAGAGAGAGTTTTTATTCTTTTAAGGAGAGTTTTTGCGTTCTTCTGCAGTGGGTCTCGCAGAAGTTAGCTCCGACCACATGGACAGTTTCCACGAGCTTGTCATTTATATCGCCTACTGCATTGCAGTCTTCTAGGCACCGTAAACGGTTTTGTAACTCGAGCTGAAAGGTTTCGGGACATTGGATTAGGGCACAAGGGGGACAGAGCGTTGATTAATTAGACGAGACCTCTCCTGGTGATCGCCGCCAGTTTTCACCCTTGCAACAACTGAGACATCACTGAGCAGTTGCTGTCTAGTCGTCATAATGAAGTTAGGTTCAGTTTCTGTGGAGCTGCTTCTGGAAGAAAGAGTTCATCATAAAGAATCCTTCTTTCTCCATGAAGTTGGCCAGCTGCTGGCCCCTTGGGTACCATTGCCCTATCCTAAATTTTCCTACTTTCAGCTCAGGGTGCATGCGTTGTATGTTGCCAGGTCGAGTTGTCTTAGGTGGCACCCGAACCTACACTCACCGGCACGGAAACTTGGCCAAGCGGTTATCTCGCGATAGCAAAAGCTTTAAGTGTTTCTGATGAATGTTTGTTATGCAAGTATGTCAAAAAATGTTTACCCTCAAGTTCAAGAGGGTAATTCATTATGTTTAAGTGCACCATGACGAATTCTTTAATTTTTAGTTGAATCGGGTCATTTGAGCGACTAAGTTCACATTTTAAATTTGTGTGTTGTGAAAAGTTTACTGTAAGGTTATTCAATTATTGTGATCTTGTGTCTTAATTAAATAACTAAAGGTGCTTTAAAGCCAATAAAAATGCCATTAACACCAGCACAAGTTGCACAAGCAGTAGCATTAATTGACCAAGGGCTGACACAGCGTGAAGTTGCTATTGTGCTTAACGTACCACGGTCCTCAATGCAGTATTCACTGAAACGATACCAGGAGACAGGCCGCTACACCCGCAGGCCAGGCAGTGGGGGGCGTAAGGTGCACATCGGCCCGGGACGATCGTTTTATTGTTATGGAGATTTTGAGAAACCGCTACCTGACCGCTGTTGAGATACGCCAGCGGCTCCAAATCGCAAGAGGCGTTAATGTTAGTGAGCGTACGGTGAGAAGACGAATGGAGGAAGTGAATTTAAAAGCTCGTAGACCAGCATGAGGTCCAGAACTTCTCAGACAGCACCGAGTAGCCCGACTTCAGTTCGCAAGAGAACATGTCAATTGGACCCACGAGCAATGGGCTAGAGTGTTGTTCACAGATGAGTGTCGAATAGCTTTACGTGCTCCAGACGGTCGAGAACGAGTGTGGAGAAAAAGAGGAGAGAGGTTTCTACCCATTACCACCACCCAAACTGTGAGTTTCCATGGAGGCTCAATAATGGTATGGGGAGGTGTAAGTTCCGACGCACGTACAGAGTTGGTCATCGTCGATAATCGGCTTACAGCTACTCGATACATCGAGGAAGTTCTTCAGGAGCACGTAATGCCTTATTCGGGATTCATTGGACACGACCAATTCCTCCTCATGCACGATAATGCACGCCCGCACGTCGCACATTGTGTAGAGGAATATCTGGAAGAGGTTGGAATACAAAAATTACAGTGGCCAGCTCGTAGCCCGGACTTAAATCCAATTGAGCATGTATGGGGTATGCTCAAAAGAAAGATAAAGTCCAGCTCCAAACCGCCACAAACTCTAAATGAGCTCCGAAATGCAGCGCTGGCCGCTTGGGACAGCATACCGCAAGTTGATGTCAGAAACATCATTCAAAGCATGCCAGATCGAATGCAAGCGGTTATCAGGGCTAGAGGAGGAAACACCCGATATTAAAACTGATAGACAATAAAGAAACAGACTTAATTTTTAACTTTGTAGTGTTTTTAAAGTGACAATGGAAAGATGTTAATTTTAGTGAAAACATGTTATCTTGAAAAGAAAAATTTCGGTGAAGTAAACATTAAATTTCTATGTTCTAAAACCACTAGAGACACTTATTGAATGCATCTACCCTTAATTTACTGTTAAAAAAAACGTTTTAGTGCAAATAATCAGCAAATTCACGAATGGCCAAGTTTCCGTGCCGGTGAGTGTACATTGGAGATTCTTAGCAACCCCTACCCTGCAGTTACCATGCTCGCCACCGTAGCCAGAATTGGGGAGCCGCCGGGGACTGGGGGTCGTCTCTTCGTAACTCTCATTATAGGGGGTATATTGCCATAGTTGCCATGCTTGGCGAACGGGTTGGCAACCGCAGTTGTTTTGTTGAATGATTGCTGTTGTCAGGAAGATGCTGCTGCTCATCTCCTGCCTGTTTCCCTCTGTGCCTTTTACGACACCCACGGGAAGATATGGGGTAGTGGATATTCTTAACCGCCACTACATGTTATTTAATATAAGTATTAAGTTAAGGTTTTTACGTTATTAAAATTATAATCATATAATCTCAAAAACGAAAATAGAAAAATAGGGACAAGATCAGTAAATATATCTTTTTTTCAACATTGTAGTATTATTTAAAAGTCAATTTTGCCAAAATGTCGAAAAGTCGCCTTTTTTGTTAGCCGGCAGAATATCACAATGTTCAACAAATTTTAAACTAATGAATGTTGAGAAATTAAAAATATTTCCGTGATGTCAGCTCAAATAATTAGTATTCATACAATGAATATTTATGACTTCTCATAAACAATACTTTCAACCAAAAAATTTTTGAATGTGGTGTTTTTGATTATTTAATAAAATACAGTATTTATTGATGAAAAAGTCCTATTGGAGTCTCCAGTATATTTGTCATTATCTGATCTGTTTTTGAAACTATTATATAAACCTAACCCTAATTGATATTATATTTGCTTTGAAAATAAAATTATGCCATAAATATTATTGTTATTATTTAATGTTGCAGAGAATACGAAATGGTGGCGCAGCACAAGCATGTCAATTAGATGCGGCATTACAAGCAGCAAGTCAGGAGGCACTTACCCACTTGGTACAAGCATCTAGTGCTGTTGCCAGGACCATGGATCTGGTAAAAACATTTACGAGGGAGAGACAGGAGCTAGATGCATCTTCACCTCGATGGAGTGCAATCAGTGGTACGCCAACAACAGACAGAGTGAACAGGGTCCCACCATTGTTGATTGGTGGCCAGTCCATTCAGCCAGTGGTATCACTTAGCAGGACATTGCTTAATACTAGTGGTTCACGTAAGTAATATTGGTTCAATTACATCTGAGTCAAGGTCCATAATGAATTTCTGAGTACGTATCTATAACTTTTAAATGAAAGTTTTTTTATTTTCATACTAAGTAAAACCAGACTTCAAAGTACTAAAAAGAATAAGTTAATTTCCACATAATTTAATTAATTATTATATTATCTTGAATAATATCTTGAATAAATTAACTTCAAAGCACTAAAAATAATAAATTAATAAGCTTTTGAAGTTGAACCTTAGACATAGTTTATTGAAAGTTTAAATTTGGGTAAAAAAAAAGATTATTTATTAAATTCTGTTTAGCAAATTAATTTTGAACCATTTTGTTATAGAAATTGTTATGTTATGATAATTTATTTTACCCTCTAAATTAAAACTTACAGCCAATATACGTTCCACTGCTGGGCACAGGCCTCTCATTTCTGAGAAGGAGAGTTGACTTCATTGATAAATGACGTCATTATTTTCGTAAGCTATGCTCTATGCATTCATCCCACTGCTAGACACAAACCTCTTCTTTAGAGGGTTTTAGGTCAAGTGTCCACCGCGCTGTCCCAATGCTTGGCGAACTTCATATTTCTTCGAAATATTTTTTTTTCTTATTTTTCAGACATGCAGGTTTCCTCACGATGTGTTCCTTCACTGCCGAGAATGTGGTAAATCAGCACTTTAAATTGCATTTAACAATTTAATTGGTCCAGCGGGGATCGAACTCGGGTTGCTTGTGTAGTGTGAAATTTACAGCGAGCACTAACCAGCTAAGCTGCCATGGCTCCTCTCAACTAAGTTGATGTGAAATTCTTATTAGCCCCCTCTTTCTTTAAATGAGAATAGGTGAGGTTTTGCTGGACTTCTCCCCCCATTTTTAACTCACATAATTGTGGACATCCTCTCACAAGAGGAACTGCCTGTTTGCATTAATAGTAGTAGTAAAAAGAAGGAAATAATTACCATCATTGTTTTATGAATTGCGGCCTTAATATTGTGATAGCAGTACATTTTACATTGTTTGTTATCTATTTCAGGTTCTATCAATAGAAGTCCTAATCAAAATCATAATGTGACAGAGAGGGCAGTGCCTATGCATATGTTACAAGGTACATTAGTATGAGCTCTGATTTTGAAAAGATGATTATGAACGATAATTCAGTGGCTAAGGCTAGTATGTATTTATTTGCAGATGTGTACATTCCGTTAACAAGGATAGATGCGGCCGAAGTACTTCATAACAATGTGGAGGCTGATGCTGATTCAAATACCTTTGAAGATAGTACGGAAGATCTAGGTTTAGAAGGTGAAATTCTAATAATAATTCTGAACTTAAGAATATTGAAATATATATATATATATATATATATATATATATATATATATATATATATACATATATATATATCCATACATTACAGCCTATATAAATCCACTGTTGAATATTTTGCCCCTAGGAAGCAATATTTTTATATACAGGGTTATTTTGCAATAACGGGCCAAATTTACAGTAAAGGTTCAAAATAAGTAATATGGGCAAATGGTAACGAAAAATTAATTAAAAAAATTTCAAACATTCTGTTCTTTTTATCTTTTAAATTCAAAGTGTGTGGTAGTGCATTATTTTAACTGATTTTAGTGTGCACGCAGACATTTGTGAAGGTAGATTGGTAGGCAAAAACACCGTTGTCCAAGAATCACATAAAATTTGGGATAAATTCAAACAAAAGTAGAATTCTACTTTTGTTTGAATTTATCCCAAATTAGAAGTAAGAAAAGTAAGAAGTAGAATTTATCCCAAATTTTATGTGATTCTTGGACAACGGTGTTTTTGCCTACCAATCTACCTTCACAAATGTCTGCGTGCACACTAAAATCAGTTAAAATAATGCACTACCACACACTTTGAATTTAAAAGATAAAAAGAACAGAATGTTTGAAATTTTTTTAATTAATTTTTCTTTACCATTTGCCCATATTACTTATTTTGAACCTTTACTGTAAATTTGGCCTGTTATTGCAAAATAACCCTGTATATAAAAATATTTACTTGTATTTTTGAAAACTTCTTAGTTTTAAAATTTGGCTACTCTTTTAAAAATAACCCTGTATACATTCTGATCTTGGGTTCGAATCCTGGGTTGGACTAAAATCAATTTTTGGATTTTTATATGAAGAAATTCATAGTGGTGGCCTGGAGTCAAAAACTTGATGGTCTTGGTTCCATAGTCCATGACTTCTCTCCAGTCGACTCGGTACCGGATTTTCGCCACATCGGACTATAAGAAAGAGATAAGGAATGGATATTGCGCCTGTGCTTGTGGCATACACTTGGGTGTTATAATCCAGTCCTGCGCAGATGATTAGTCTAAGCTTTTTTTTTTTTATAGAAGCGTGGGCAAACGAGCATGTGGCTCACCTGATGTTAAGTGACTACCGCCGCCCATGATCAACCGCAACACCAGGGGAATTGCAGGTGCGTTGCCGGCCCTTTAGAAAGGAGTAAGCTCTTTTCTTGAAGGTCCCCAGGTCGTATCGGTCCGGAAAAATCACCGGTGGTAAATTATTCCACAGAGAGGTTGTACGCGGAAGAAAACTCCTTTTGAAACGTACAGTGGTCGACCGCCAAGCATCCAGATGGTGTGGATGGTATCGGGACGTTTGCCGTGTAGTGCGTTCACGAAATTTGGCGGCTGGGATTAATCCGAACAATTCCTCAGAGCACTCCCCGTGATAGATGCGATAAAATACGCAAAGAGATGCAACATCTCTTCGCGCAGCGCCAGTGAATCGAGCCGATCGGAAAGCACTCGGTCGTCGACGATTCGAGCCGCTCCGCGCTGGATGCGGTCAAGTGGAAGGAGCTGGTACAGGGGAGCCCCAGCCCAGAGATGGGAACAGTATTCCATGAGCGGCCGAACCTGCGCCTTGTAAAGTTGCAGGCGGTGTGCCGGCATGAAATACTGTCCCGCTCTGCTGAGCACGCCAAGGTTTTTAGAGGCCAATTTGGCCTTCCCTTCCAAGTGACCACGAAACTGCACGTCACTCGATATGTCGACGCCTAGGATTCCGATACTGGCTGAGGCAACAAGGGGGAGTGCCTTGAAACTGAGGGGATACGACAAAGGGGTTCTTTTTAGCGGTTAACGCGCAAACTTGTGTCTTCTGGGGGTTAAACTGGTCTAGATTTAGTCGCCCCCAATCCGAGACTCTGTCTAGCAGAGACTCGACTTCAGACACAAGTTTGTCCTGGCACTTAGAGACTTTTTGCCGAGAAATATTGGCTCGGCCAGTGTAAAGAGCATCACCAGTGCTGTCATCTGCATAGCAATGAATGCTACGGGTTTGCAACATATCATTGATATGCAGAAGAAACAGCGTTGGCGATAGCACGCAGCCCTGTGGAACAACAGCATTAATAAGCTTGCAATCGGAGCTTGCATCGTCTACAACGACCTTGATGCTCCGATCTGCAAGAAAACTGGTGATCCAATCGCACAATTTCTCGGGAAGCCCATAGGAAGGGAGCTTCGAAAGAAGCGCTTTGTGCCAAACCCGATCGAAGGCCTTCGCAATGTCCAAACTAACGGCCAATGCCTCCCCCTTGGACTCTACTGCCTCCGCCCATCTGTGAGTTAGGTAGACCAGAAGATCACCAGCTGACCTACCACGGCGAAAACCGTATTGGCGGTCACTAATCAGCTGGTGATCCTCAAGGTACCTCATGAGCTGGCAGTTTACAATGGACTCCATTGTTTTGGAGAACAAGGAGGTGATGGCGATAGGCCGGTAGTTGGACGGGTCTGAGCGGTCGCTTTTTTTAGCGGTCGATTTTGGGACTACGCCTAGGGAGTAGGAGTACCGGAAAAGACGCGTTAAAACCGGTGCCAACTCTGGAGCACACGTCCTCAGCACAATTGGGGGGATTCCGTCAGGCCCACTCGACTTATGGATGTCCAGGGAGAGGATTGCTTTGCGAACCGAGCGCTGAGTGAACTGCACTTCCGGCATGGAGCACTCACACCGCGGGATGGTCGGCGGTGTACTCCACCCGCCATCGAGAGTCGAGTTAGACGCAAAGAAAGAGCCTAGAAGATCGGCTTTCTCCTTTGCGGTGTGGGCCAGTGAGTCGTCCTCCCTGTGCAGAGATGGAAGAGATGGCTGACAGAAATTCCCCTGGACAGCCTTGGCGAAAGACCAGAATGCACGGGTTCCAGAAGGAAGACGAACTAGTCTCTCGCCAATTCTGCCTATGTGCTCTGACTTTGCCTTGGCAATGACTCTTTTGAAGGACCTAGAGGCGGAATTATACTTCTTTTTTAGAGCGCTGGTGTTTACATCCCTGGACGCTGATGCTTCAGCCCAGGCTCGGTAGCACTCCTGCTTATAGCATGATGGTATTTTACAGGAGCGACCAAACCATGGCTGAGATTTGCCTCCAATGGGCACCACAGAGGAAGGAATAAAAAGTTCCATACCCTGAAGTCCCGCATCAGCGATAGAATCCGCAACAACGTTGGGATCGTCCGGCGAGAAGCAAACCCGCCCCCAAGGGTAGGATGCAAAGAAAGACCGCATCCCATCCCAATCGGCTGACCTATAAATGCGGCATGTATATATAATGGCGGCAGCCTGCAAAATGCAACCGCGATTTCAGCGTGAGTGGCACCACACTCCGGACAAGACAATGGTCCGAGGAGCCTAAAGGGGCGTCGACGGAAATCTGATATCCGTCCGGGTGAGAGGTCAGCAGAAGGTCCAACAGGGAAGGTGCATGATCCTCCACATCTGGAATCCGCGTAGGCGAAGTAACCAGTTGTGTCAGACCATATGCCAAGGCAAAATCATGAACAGATCTCCCCGCATGATCGGTTAAACGTGAACCGAGCCATTCGGCGTGATGGGCGTTAAAGTCCCCGAGGATCACGATCTGTGCGGAGCGGATCTGCTGTAGCAACGAATCTGCAGCCATTTGGACGTGGTCGAAGAGTCGGTCTGTTTCGGCATTACCGCTATGGGACCTATAGAGGCACCCGTAGACGCGCGGATGGTCGTCGCTGTCTACGCGTAGCCAAAGAATGGACAGGTCCGAACCTTCAAGTCTGCCGAGGCGTCGAGAACAGATGTCCTCTCTGACGTAAACGCAAACTCCAGCCCGAGGCACAAAGGAGTGTTCCAGTTTGTACCCCGGGCAGGAGAGATACGAGACATCAGCCGGAGAGGACACCTGTGTCTCGGTCAGAAAGAGCAGAGCCGGCCTCGCCGTCTCGAGATGGTAGTGGACGGCGTTTAGGTTAGAGTGAAGTCCCCTGATATTGCAGAAATTCACGGACAGCATGGCAGGGGTCGCCTTGGTCTTGTTGCTCCGTTTGCCCCGAGCAGTTTTAGTCTTGAGCGGAATTTTGCCCCCCCTCCAGAATACGCGGGGCAGCCTGAGCACCCACGCTCAGAAGTGGAGAAACATGGTCGTGGATGCTCAGCGAGGGATTCTCCAGAGGTGCTGGTATCCTCCTGGGGTAGTCTATCATTTAATTCCGCTACCATGTTGATGGGGGGGGGGGGGGTGGATTTGGGCCTCCGGCCACCTGCACTCACCAGACGAAACGCGGAGCAGAGCTTCCACTTCACGCCGGTATTCTGTAAGGTCGTGGTACCACCCCGGTTTGAGCCGGCGCATACGTGCGACAGCAAAGCTGCCGCGTGGCTCTACCACAGTTAAAACTGGCACTATATTAATTTTTTTTTTATAGAATAGGGTGACAAACGAGCACACAGTCCACCTGATGGTAAGTGGTTGCTGCGGCCCATAGACATCTACATCTATTCTCCATTAAAAATCAAAATGCAGATGCGTTGTCACCCGTGAGGACTGAGATGGAATGCCTCGTTTCCAGTAAAAAGGGTCTCCGGTTCTCTACACTCACCATACGAAATACAGCAGCATTAAGCTACTATTTCACGCTGGTATTCTGTGAGAGCGTGGTCCTTCCCCGGTCGAGCCGACCCATTCGTGTTACAACTATACTACTAATATAACTGCAGCATGGCTCTACCACGTATAAATTATTATTGCATTATTAATGCAATTAATATAATTAAATCCAATCACAAGCATACCATTGTAAGATTTAAAAATATTGTAAGATTATTTTGCGTAGATTCAAATAAAGATATGATTCATAATAACAGTCTAATTTCATACTTACTCCTACATACCTAACGCTACCTAGGTTAATTATTAAATAAGGCTGTTGCATATGTCAGCCTCCTAGCTTAGAGCTATGTCATGAGGAGGCTGACATATAGCATGTCACATATAGCACCAGGAGGCAGCATTCAAAGTATAAAATTCCTAAAATTAGTTTCTTTAAATATTAATCACTACAAAACAACACAAAAATATCCTGAGAAAATTGTGTTAAAAAAGTGGAAGTACATTCAGGTACAAATCCAAATGTGTTGGCAGTTTATAATTCAAAATAAATACTTTTTTTCCAGATAGTACCGAGAGGGTATTGGAGGACTCCCAAAATCCCGAAATTGATGAAACCGAAACATCGTAAGTTGCTATTTTATTATATTGCATCAAGGTGTAATTTTTTTTTATAAAACATAAGTGACAAATGTACTTGTCTAACTGATGTTAAGCGGCTACCTCAATCCATGGACGTCTGCAACCAACTTCAAACAATGGAGAGTACATATGCATTGTCATCTCTGAGGAATAATGTGGAATGCCTCACAGTTTGTAATTATATTGACTCTATGTACCCTTCAGACTGGAATGCAGCAGTGTAAGCATTGCTTTTTGGCGGCAGGAATATGTTGAGAAAATGCTTGTACGTAGATAGACGAACCTGTAGTCAGAAATGAAGTCCTACCACCATTTTTTATTTTATTTTTTACTTTGTGGAATGGAATGACAAACAAGCACACAGTTCACCTTGATGGTAAGTCGATACAGTGGCTCATACACATCTACAGTTATCCTAGACCAACAACCAAAATGTAGATGCGTTTCACTGCTGTGGTCTGTTGGGATGCTTTATTTCCAGTAAAAAGGGTCTCCGGTTCACACTCACCATATGAAACACAGCAACATTAAGCCGCTATTTGACGCTGGTATATTCTGTGTGGTCGCGCCGACCAATTTATAATACGACCATTATATTAAATATCATTTATTCGGAACTAGTCTACATCAGAAGTCATAAATACACATCGAAATTAAAATATGAAAACTAAATTATTATGTCAATTACATTAATTAATTAATTATTTCATTTAAATTAAATTATTACAATTATTAATAATTCACATAAAATACACAAACATAACACAAAAGGTACACAACTCTAACCTAATCTAAATTTAGGTTTAGATCTGGAGTGCTCAACATGCAGTCTGGTTCAGTGCCGTATTATAGAGCAATCTAGATCCATCCGTTATAAGGCTGTAGCGTGGCTCTACCATGTAATAACCTAGAAAGTGAATCCATCAACCGATTTCGTCCTGTCGGTGTTGCAAAAGGGGTCCGATTAGCCAGAAAACTAGTGATCCAATCGCACAATTTGTGTAGTCTTCTTTGTTTGATGATGATGAGTATTCATGGGCTGCTGCCACTTACCATCAGGTGGACTGTAAGTTTGTTTGTTACTTTTAAAAACTGTGTGGTGAAATTGACACAGAAAAATTTTTGTACCTGACACACGCCAAAATATTATATTCAGTATATATCCCAACTGATGATAAGATCTGTAGCGAGGGCTGATAAAATAAATCATGCGGTCACCAGATGTCGTTAGGAGGTACTGAGGTGAAGTTTTTTGTTAAACAATTTCATTTATTCAAGAAGTTACTTTTAAGAGAAGTTACGTTTGGTTTATTCCTTTGTTATGTAATCGATATAAAGTATAACTAATGGTATAGAAGGAAACATTAACACGTTTTTCTAACAAATTACCTTCCCTGTATGAAATCTGTCAAATAGTTCGCCTAATTTAGTAGCAGAAACAGTCGTAGATACCATCATTATACTGGCTTTCTTCTCTTTCAAACCAGAACTCAGTAAAAAAATTAGAGAGTGTTACTGACCCAGCCTGATTTATAAATAGAAACTGACAGGCAGAAAGGAAATGAGGCCTGTGTGACATTTATTTATTTATTTTACCACTTACAACTATCATCACAGGTGTGTTACCTAATACAATAGTGCAGTTACAAACTAAGAAGCTAGAACAAACATAATATAGGTATATTATGCACAACTTAAAGATATTTTACAATAAGCGGCCTTTGTGAATTCGTCAGAGTACAATTGAACAAATCAGTCCGATGTGAGACCACGTTAAGTGCACGCAGCGCGCCTGTCAAAGGCGCGTGCTGTATCAAGTTGGTGCTCGCTTGCGGCACCGACAAAAGCGGCGGCTGCCGTCGTCTTCCTACGTACTTATTAGGGACACACAGCTTAGCTATCTGTAGAATACCTGGGCTATGTATTTTACCACGGATCACTTTTAGTAAGTAAGTGGCGAGAGCAACTTCCATTCTTATTTCAAGTTTATAATAGCCTATCATGCCTAGTATAAATTAAGTAGGGTAAATTTGTAGCTAGTATCTTTACTTTCCATACCCATACAAAATAATTTAATTTTTGCCAGGCGAAGGTTAGACGTAGTCGCTGAAGAGCTGGAGCCGGAGGATGATGAACGAATATCTCCAATTATTCCTAGGTAAGTGGAATTTTATTGGAAGCCTGTAAACAGTGTTAGAAGTTAGGTACATTTTAAGTAGTCATGACTGCCTCTTTGGTCTAGTGATCCCAAGTGCGACTACTGATCATGTGGTCCCCCGGTGTGAATACCAAAATATGGGTATTATAATATTTGTACGACATATACCGTTACAGCCTATTAGAGTCCACTTAAGAATGTAGGCCTACCCCATAGGAGAGTTATTTGCCATAGTTGCCATGCTTGGCAAGCAGGATGGATGTTTATTAGGAAGATGTTGCTGCCTCCTGATTTCATCTCTCCTGATTTGTTTCCCTCTCACCTCTTACGACACCAACGGGACGATATGGGGTAGTGGATATGCTTACACGGCCACTACACGGTAAATACTACATATATTGTAATGTCAATTAGTCTGTAAAGGTCATGCAAATAGTAATTTAAATGTGAAGAGTAAGAGTCACCTACAAGATATTGTAATTTAAAAGGAGACTCCATCCCCGGTTATATTGTTTTTTTTTTAAATTATTCTAAGCCAGCACTTAGCAGCTACAACCCCAGCTGATGGTAAGTGGTGATGTATTTTAAGATGGTAAAGCGCACTGACAACAAAAACCTTGAAGACACCTACACTGTAATCGGATGGAAAGACAGATGCTAGCAACTTATTCCACTCTTTCGCTCCACGCATGATGAACGACGTAGCAAATCGTTTGATTCGAATGCGTGGTAAGTCAACAACGAAAGAGTGGTGACTGGCTGAACGTCTGGTTGTCTGATGGTGGAAGGGAGAGGGAGAAATTCAGTTATGCAATTCCTGCGCACACTCCGAAATGCATCCTGTAGAAGACCGAAAGGCTGGCTACTTATGTACAAAAGTACTCAAATTCTCTGAAGCAACTCACCTATGAGTACTCCGCCTCTCCCTTCACCGCAAAAACACAGAGCTCGTCTTGTCTAGTGCAGACAAGATTTTTTTTGTCAGCGCCGGAACATTGTACACAGTTCGTGTGTAGAAACGACACGAATTCTTGCATAGACCCGGCGATTTTTCTTAGCGTGTATAAGCGCCCTTACTGTTCGTGTAATGAGGTCTAATAAGCTTATCAGATGTCGCTAGTACACACAGTGTCATTATCATAGAAGAGTGCGTTTTAATTAAAATATTCTCGGTTTCTAGTCGATGTACCTTTACACATAAAACAATGTCTCAGTGCTGTGTTCTATAATTATAATACACATTTTTACTTTTTTATTTCTTTCTTTACGTGGTAGAGCCATGCTGCAGCTGTATTAGTAGTATAGTTGTAGCACGAATGGGTCTGCTCGAGCAGGGAAGGACCACGCTCTCGCAGAATACCAGCGTAAAATAGCAGCTTAATGCTGCTGTGTTTCGTGTAGTGAGTGTAGAGAACCGGAGACACTTTTGCTGGAAACGAGGCATTCCATCTCAGGCCTTATGGGTGATAAACATCAGCATTTTGATTCGTAATCGAGGATAGATGTAGATGTCTATGGGCCACAGCAACCACTTACCATCAGGTGGTCTGTGTGCTCGTTTGTCACACTATCCTATAAAGAAAAAAATTCTAATTATAGAGTGATCCGTAGTTTGGTTTATCGATTACTAATCTAATATTTTTTTTTAAAATTTAACTTTACTGCCATGGATTTGTAATATATTTCATCTCATTTTTAAGTGGCGCCGCCCTAAGCGAAGTAAAATTTGTGAATAGAAAAAAAAATGAAGTAGTCAACCAAATCTAAGAAATAACTTTTGACGTTTCACATTAATCATTTCGCAATAACTTTGCACAAGCGTACTCATACGATTTAAAATAACCTTTTACATAAATCCCAAGAATTATGAAGTTATCTATATTCATTACGTGTATAGTTTTTATCACTAATTTAAATTCTAATTTTTCAAACAAAGCAAAATGTTTAATAAAAAAACCAGTATTAACTTTTTTACTTGACGTCGTTTCAATGATATGTCGCTATGTACCTTTTCATTACGTGTATAGGTTTTATCACTAATTTAAATTCTAACTTTTCAAACAAAGCAAGCAAAATGTTTAATAAAAAAACCAGTATCAACTTTTTTACTTGACGTCGTTTCAATGATATGTCGCTATGTACCTTACCGCAGTGTTAGGATGATTAAAATTCATTGCTATGCGAATAATCGGAAAAAATATTCAAATAATCGAATCATTATTCTTTTTTTAATGTATTATTTGTTTAATAAAATGTTTATTTGTTTATTTCTTTTAGGAAGGCTTACAGACTAATATCTTCGTAAAGTTACAAAATGGTGATAAAAATTGCTAATTACAAGCCTCCACATATTACTTTCATCCAACTTTATACAAATTTAAAAATATTTTAGGGAATACTTAAACTATTACAAAAATAATAACAAAAAAATGCAAAAACATTAACCGAAAAAAAAATATGAGTCAATGAGCAACTTGAGTCATGCTAGTCATGGCTGCGAATGAAAAATTCTCTGTTCATCACTTTTTTTACACATTTAGAACTAGTGGAAAATATGCCAATATCTACTACAGATGAAAGCTTATTAAATTCCATTGCTCTACGCAGAAAGAAGGAATTTCTTCTATAATTCGTTGAAGCAAGAGGATATATAGCAAGGGTCGCTGTCTAAATCTCATTAAATCGGTCCGAATCATTATGTGAGTAAGTAGCTCAGAAGAATCAATAGATCCATTTACTATATTAACTAGGAAACAAATATCATTGACTGTACATATTCCAACGGCAAAAAATGATATCTGCTACATCTTTCGAGATAATTTGCTGAGTGTTTTTGTGCCTTAAACTCGAGGTATCTCATAATTTTTTTCTGTATACTTTCAATACGAGCTATGTAAACTTTATATTGTGGGTTCCATACTACGCATACGCATATTCTAAATGGCTACGCATATATGAGCAATATAAAATCTTAATAGCTTTAAGAGAGCGGAAGCAGTCTGAAGTTCTTAAAATGAAACCAAGAGCCTTGGATGCTTTGTTGACAATATTTGCAACGTGTTTGTCGAATACCAATTTACTATCATGTATTACGCCGAGATCATGAATATGATTTACCATGCTAATAGTCTGATTATTAAGAGTATAACCGAATCCAATTCTAGATCTTTGTCGTGTGAATGTTATATGAGAACATTTGGAGATATTCAATTGAAGCTTATTGAGTTTACAGTAATCAGAAAACCTGTTTAGGTCTTCTTGAAGTTGTTTAACTTCTGTTAGATTATGAACAGTTTTAAGAATTTTCGTGTCATCGGCGTAAAGTAGTATATGAGAATTTTTAAAACATGACTTAATATCAGCAATAAATATTGCGAATAAGAGAGGGCCAAGTAATGAACCCTGAGGAACACCAGATGGAATTGTGCACCAACCAGAGATGTAACCACGCAAAACGACAGCCTGTAACCGATTCTCTATATACGAACAAAACCATCTATGCAAGTCACCGTGTATTCCCGCAGCTAATAGATTTTGTAAAAGGACACGATGGTTAATACGATCAAAACACTTGTTATAATCTGTGTAAATTACATCTACCTGTGCACGCTGCTCCATGCCTTTAGTGATGAATTCATTGGCCGAAATGAGATTAGAAGTGGTTGAACGCTTTCGAAGAAACCCATGTTGTTCTTCACCCAAATAGTTTTGTACTGCATAATAGACTTCATTATAAACGATTCGTTCAAGAACTTAAGAGAACAGGCATAACTTCGAGATGGGACGATAATTTCCGACATTTGACTTATCGCCTTTTTTTAAATACCGGTGTTATGAAGGCAGATTTCCAAACTTGTGGAACTATTCCTTCTGTTAAAGACCTGTTCCTAAACAAGTTAAGTGTTTTTGTTCGTAAACCGCGTACATTTTGGTAATATATTTTAATAGATTCCATGATTGAACTTAACTATAACTAAATTCATTGTCATAATGCAGCATTCCAATAAAAGTAAATTAACTAGTATTAGAAAAGTAACATTGAAAACATAGAACGAAAATGCCATATAAAAGCGGGTAGATAATTTATAAAGGTATAATGCGCCGTCGTATGCAACACGGGAGTCTCGAGTGCTCACGACTAACGACCAATGAGTAAAATCAATGATATACGTACAAGATATCAACAAGCAAATATTGCTTATATTCGTTAGCAAATGAATAGACCAAAAGCGAACCAAGCTACATGTAATAAGATATGAAAAATAGTTTATCGATATTAGTAAGATGTTTAAAAATTATAATGTAAACGAATACGTATTGCACAACAAAATGAGGAATACGTAAACACACCGCGATAGCGTATGCATCTCAAACTGCCATATTAAAAGTTTTGTGTAGTATAAAAACAAATTATGAATAATAGTAATAGAATAGAAAGATAATAAGCTTAACATCACACAAATATTATGTTTAACATTATGAATAATAATAATAGGGTAAAAAGATAATAAGTTTAACATCACACTATTTTTGATAGTGTTGCCCAAATGCAAGAACAAGACGAGACTTAGCCAGTCTTGGTCTTGGTCTTGCGCCAATACACCTGGTCTTGTTCTTGGTCTTGGTATTGCGCTCTCAGTCTTGTTCTTGGTCTTGGTCTTGCAGCAAGAGTCTCGCAAGTCTCTCAATTACCTATTAGCCTATTGTTATTTATTAAACGTTACTTTAGATCTTAGAACAACTTAACAGAGTAGGCACATTTTGAGCTTGAATTAAATTAGAAAGACCAACCAAATTAATAAATGTCTAAACATTTAATGAGAAATTCGAAAAATCAACTAATACCGGGTGGGGTTTGAACCCACGACCTAAGCGATCCGTGCCGATGCTCTAACCAACTGAGCTGTCTAACAAGTCTCACGGCCACGTGAGTTAGTCTGTTTCTTAATAAACGTTTACATTTAATAAGCTTACATGTGCTAAAACTTAGTCAAAACATA